CACAAAGCTATTAAGCATACTGCCACTTTATAATTTGTAACGTTTTAGATTGTATCAATCACAAAATATTTACCAAAAACGTTACATTCAACTTTATTTGTACAGTTTTTTCTTATAACTAGTTTCTACAGCTTTACACTATGCGTTACAACTTACACCTGAAAAACTTATACCGTTTTCAATTACCAATCAGACTAATAATAGTTTTATCCCAAATACCACTCGAATCAAAGATCACTAAAATTGATATTATCTAAACTTGTCTATAGAAAACTAAATAAAAATTATGTAATTTGATCAGACATTACTGTCAGCTGGATGAGGAACCCAAAAGAGAAGAATTATTGGCGTCACCATTAAACCATTAAAGTATTGAAAAAGATATATTTAATTAGTTATAACTTCAGTGTATTTTATATATATATAAATGTAAAAGTAGTATTAATTTGTTTGGTTCTTATCATAATGGTCCCGAGATTTGGTGCACCAGATGGTTTGTACTGTATCTCGAGGCATCGAATGCCATTACGGTAAAAGCAAAGGTTAAAGTAATTAGATAAAGATAAACACCCACATCAAACACCAATTAATAATAATAGATTCTAAATTTAGAACTATTTATGACATTTATGAAGAAACATAAATTATAGAGAGATCTTCATATGTTGGATAACTGTTTAGGTATTTAAAAAATTAATAGACATTAATATTTGAAAATTTAAAATAGTTTTGGCATCTAATTCTAGTAAAAATTATGCAAAATTTCAACAGCTTTTTTTTTTTTTTAACTAAGTTATTTAATTCATTTAACCGTTCAAAGTACAAATGAAATAATTAAACGTCCTCCATAATTAATACAACATAATTGAGAAGCAATAAAGCATAAAGTAGATAGATTATCGTAAAAGATGGACAGCGAATCCAAAGCATGTTTCGGATGCGTCAAGAAGGTCATCGCGGCAAAGCCGAAGATTCTTAGGTTAGTCACTTTACCATATGACTTTGAAATTCCCGGCATAAAGCACGGGGGTGATAGATTATTGATACGATTAAATTTCAATATTTGGATGATAAAATTATTGATACGATTAAAGCATGGCAGTGGAGTGATAGATAAGTTGTCTCTGAACGAGAAGAATTGGACTGAAATCCCAATACGTCGCCTTCCTCCTTCTCACTCATCAATTTGGTCTTCTCAATTGACTATTTCAAATTTTCAAATCGATAATATTTTTCTGCATAATTTTTGTTTTCACCATATTTTACTATCTTATCTAATCAGAACCAACGAACTAGAAATTTAACGAGAACCACTGAAGACTGAACTAATGCAATACAGCTATTATAATATTTAGAGTTTCATGCCATTTAATTTTGGATTAATAGGCCGTTTCATGTGAATAACTATCTTAATTAAATAGTGCTAAATAACGAATATTACAGCCTATCATTAGTTGTCTTGTTTCAGAGCTAGGTGATACAGTAATAATACCTATTGCATATAATTATTACTACTATTCAAATTAGTTATGCACCTTGTTAGAGATCGCGCTAGACGTGAGTCTGGCGCTTAGTCCGGACCTAACAATTTTTTCAAAAAGCAGTTATAAATCGGAGAGTACTCGGGGAGTAATTTTTTGTATAATTTAGTACTTTAGTAAACATTTCATAAAACTTAGGGAGTTAATACATAGTTTCTTTTCTTTTTTATCTCTTTCCTCACAAAAATTGATTGATTATAGATTTTTCTTAAAGTTAAGAAATGTTGAAATAACAAAGCGGTTTCCATATGCATTCATTTTTTTTTGGTAAATCTAAAAAAAAATGAAAACGAGACATTGAAAACTCCGTCAACCTTTTTCCCTCTCTGTTATGTCTCTTTCTCCCCCAAATTCGAACCTGAAATTACTAAAATCCCAATTTTCGGACGAACTCGATTCTTATTCATATGATTCTCGCTGTGTAGGTTCGTGCGTCTCTCTTTCTGGTATGATTCAAGCTTGTGATAGGAACAAACGATGTGAAAAAAAAACTGGTAAAGATTGGGTTCGCTGGATATGCTTATTAATCGCCAGTTTTTGATAAAACACGGTCTCGCCGGTCAAAACTCGGGGTCCCGCATAATTGCTCCGATCAGCACCAACTCCCCACAGTGACCACCGCCGAATGTGTTCTCGACCGCAGAATCATCAACTCGCCCGCGTTTTAGAACAAGGGTTATGCACCATACTTTTTTCTTTCTTATTTCAACTATTATGCTACAAATCTGTATAAATGGAGAAACTGTGAAGGAAGTGTGTTATGAAACAGTATCACAAAAACAATCGAATTATACATTATCACATTATTTTTCATTTTTTATTTGTAAATATTATGTCCTATTCTCACTATTTTTTTTAAGTCTATGCAAAACATGCCTAATTTTTATATGACACAGTAAACATTCACAAATAAAATCTTTGAACTGTTACATTACATGAATTCTATTTAAATTATTAATAATTCTAAACCCAACTAAATTAGTAAAATTATGTATCTATTTTTCAAGTATATTATAAAATAAGATTATTAACTAGCTGAAAAAACTTCCTTTTTCAAAAAAAAAATTAACTGATAAATTAATCAATGGTCAACTAGCCAAATAGCAAAATTTTAAAATATAATTAGAGCAATAGCCATGTAATAAATATAATGGAAAACAACTGATCTAAGAGAATTGTCGATATTGTCTTTCATACGAAACCACTTATACACACATAGATCATACTTGTTTTATTCTTACTATATATTGCATAACATAAAAATTTTAATGAAGATAATTTTGAAATTGTATAC